AATAAGGTTGTAATTCTGGTACATCCTATAGTTCCAAACCCATACACTACCTTAAATCCCAGGAGAAGACAAGTATCTTGCTGTATTAAATTTAAAGGCTGCCTTTTTCTGCATCCTGATTCCCAGGACTTGTTCCCAGTACTTGTTCACATTTGAATGGATGAACCCCCAAACTAGGGAGACTTGCCAATATCTATGGGCTGTACTCCCTCAGGGCTTTAGGAACAGTCCCCATTTGTTTGAAAATCCCTGAGCCACAATATTGTGATGATATTAATTTCTAGTACTAACACAGAGAACTCAGATAAACATTCTATCCTGGTGTCACACTTCCTCGTAAATAGAGGATATAAAGTATCTCCCCCAAAAGGCCCAAATAACCTTCCAGAGATCCAATATCTGGGGTACCTCCTTACCTCAGAAGCCCGGAGCCTGTCACCCCAAAGGAAGTAAGTCACACTGGCTCTCAGAGTCCCACAAAGTAAACAACATTGGAGAATTTTTAGGAATCGCTGGCCTCTGCCACCTGAGGATACCAGGTTTGGGGCCAAATGCTAACCCTCTTCATAAGGCTTCTGAAAGAAGATGGCAAAGGGCCAATAGACTGGACCCCTAATGCCAACGTGCCTCTGAGAAATTAAAAGTGAAACTGTGCAGGGCATCTGCTTAGGGCTGCCAATTTTAGAAAAACAGATTACTGTGCTCACTTCAGCATCACATACACTAAAATTTGAACGATGAAGAGTAGCATACCATCCAAATTTGTGAAGCGTTCCATATTTTTTTTTAAAAAAAAAGAATGAGAAATATGTACACAGATAATAATTGAATAAAAAATGTAAAAAGAGAGAGAGAGAGAAACAGATTACTTTGTATATAGCGGAAAGATAGGAAGTCCCCACCCAAAATTTACCAGCTTACTTTCCAAAACGCTGGATGCTGCTCTCGTGGCCGGCTGGCCACATTCTTAACCAGCTGTAGCTGCCACTGCTCTCATAGTAGGGAGCGGTGGATAAACGTACCCAGGTCAGCCACTAAAAGCACAAGCCTCCGATCAAGTAAATAAAGGGTTTATCCATGGCCTCCGGAGGAAGGCTTAAATAAATAGAAAGTCTTCCTCAACTCTCCTGAATCAACCCTAAAGCCTTGCCAAACTCTCAGTCCTACTACCCTCCTGGCAACAGGAAGGTAGTCTACCAGGTTACATACCAATGCACAGACACTATTGAACAAGTCCAGCAGGTCTGGCCTAAACGATGAACCTTTACCTAAACCTGATGCAGACTAGTCTACGTATGGCAATCATTTTACACAAAATGGGGTCAAAAAGGCAGGTATGCCATTGTCAGTCTTCAAGAAACAACAAAGGCAAAAGCCTGCCCCCCTCTACGACTTCGGCCCAAAAAGCTGAACTCCTAAGGCACATGTGTCAAACACAAGGCCCGCGGGCCAAATCCATCCCGCCAGGCCTTGCAATGTGGCCCGCACCGCGCTGTCATCACTGCACTCCGCTGCGTTTCCATCACAATGACAGTTTATGACTGTTCAGTAAACCATTTGGCCCGCGATTTAGGCTGGATTTTAGATTTTGGCCCCTTCTCTGATTGAGTTCGACACCCCTATCCTAAGGCCTTACAACCAGGGGAAAAACATGAGTTCATATCTACACCGACTCAAAGTATCAGTTTCTAATATTACATGCCCATGCTCCCATTTGGGAAGAAAGAGGACCTTGAACAGCTAAAAACTCCCCATAAAACACCCTTTAGGAATTTAGAACTCCCAGCAACTGTAGCACTGACCCAAGAAATAACAATGATACACTCACTGCCAGGGCCACCAAAAGGGAACACAGATATAACCAAAGGCATTACGTTGGTAGATCCGGAAACGAATATAGCAGCATTGTCTTCCTCAATCACCCAAAAGGCAGCTCTGGCCCCTGACTTCCCTCAGCAACCAGAAGGCCCTTCTACATACAACACTGAGGAAATCTTTTGGGCCATAACGAATGGATTCTCTAGAGACCCACAGGCTGGATATCAAGGGATAATAAACATTTGTTACCTCAGAACGCTCCATAATGGCACCCACGAAAGGAGAGGTGTTCTTGTCATCCTTGTCTCCCAGCTGGTTATGATATGAGCGCGTTAGAAAAACTGTACAGGAAGTGACTCAAGGATGCATTCCGCTCCAAAATAGTCTTGAGTTACCACCTTCTTCCTCCTCCCTTTCTGTCACCAATACAAACCAGGGTACATATACCCTGGGATAGACTGGCAAATTGATTTCACTCAGATGCCTTCCTAAAACTGGATTTAAATATTTGCTAGTATTTGTAAACACTTATACTGGATGGATCGAAGCCCTTCCTACCAGAACACACAAAAAGCCACTAAAATAGCCAAGTACTTAGAAAAATCTTACCTAGGTTTTTTTTTTGGAAGCTTACCAAGAAGCTTCCAGAGTGACAATGGGCCCTCTTTTGTAGCCCAAATTACCTAACAGCTAGCTCCTGCTTAGGAATCAACTATCCCTTATACTCATCATGGAGACCTCAACACTCAAATAAGGCAGAAGAAGCTAATCAAACCCTAAGAAGGACTCTAGCCAAGCAATGCCAAGGAACCTCAAAGTCCTAAAGAAAAGTGAAAAGTCAGCCCCTTTTCACTCACCAATGGCAGAGGCCGATGTCTTACACCGTTAACCTAGGACAAATAAGTTAAACCTGGGGACAAGGTCTACTTAAAAACCTGGAGGGACGGCTGTCCTAAGTCCCAGCCACAGCCCAGATGGAAGGGCCCATTCACATCAGGTCCGACTGAGCACCCCAACTGCAGCAAAGCTCCCAGGGATAAAGCCGTTCACAGATGTCAAATCAAACATATTTCCTGTTAGTCCCCACAGAAACCACAAAATGAGACCTGCCCTTATGAACCCATCCGGGGCCTCTAACTCCTTTTCGAGAACCTGTTACAAATAAGTCATGTGATGGCGGGGCCTCAGGGTAATTGTCTTTCTCATGTTTCTGACACTCTTTTCTCCTAGCCTGTCCGTATGCCCAGCCTCCATCCTCCAGGAAGAGAATTTCTCTGTGCTTGTTGGATTTAATTCCTATCAAATAAAGTCCCAGGTCCTCCACTCCACTCACATTATTTGAATTTTAGCCAGCAGTATTTATCTTTCTTGTTTTCATATTCCTACCATACTCAAGACCCCCCTGAAAAGAATGGAAGACTAATATACTACTACACATTTCCAATATCGTTGCTGCTGGAAATTAACTTTTTGATTGCTGGATCTGCCCTAAAGAGCCCACCACAAGAGCCCTCCCTCTTCAGTTTCAATCTATAGCCCTCAACTTAAATCTAACTCTACTAGTAGGGTCCCAAAATAATTTTGAAAAGACTAGTACTTTTTTTAGTAAACCTCCTTTCAGTTTCTAGCGACTTTTCTCACACCAACCTCATCCTATTTGTTAATCAGACTAATAACTGGTCAGTTTTGAGGCTCTTATGCAAGATCCTTACAGAACTCTGCTGTCATTATATTACATCTAACCAATCCTATATAATAAAGAGGTAATATGCAAATTGATCATCACTGCAACACACAAGATGGCCGCCCCCAAGTGGTCAAAGATCCTGCCCCCAGGTGGACACAAGATGGCTGCCACGAGATGGTCGGCAGGGGAGGGCAGTTGTGGGCGACCAGGCCTGCAAGGGAGGGCAGCTGGGAGAGACCAGGCCTGCAAGGGAGAGCATTTGGGGGTGATCAGGCCTGCAGGGGAAGGCAGTTAGGAGTGACCAGGTCAGCAGAGGAGGGCAGTTGCAAGGGGGACCAGGCCAGTAGGGGAGCAGTTAGGCATCAATCAGTCTGGCAGGGGAGTTTAGGGGGTGATCAGGCTGGTAGGCAGAAGCGTTTTGGGGCAGTTAGGCAGGCAGGGAGGTGAGCAGTGGGAACCAGAAGTCTTGGGTTTCATATTACAGAGGGTGCAGGGGGCTGAAAGACAGCGCCCCCCCCCCCCCCCACACACATACCCCTGTGCACAAATTTCATGCACCGGGCCTCTAGTATAGCAATAAACAAAATAATTGCGTCCTATCTCTGATATATCCAAAGATTTCTTCTAACAATATTTTCTGTACCCCCAATCTGACACACTGGTGTCCACTAAGCTAGAGAGTCCAATCAGATGTCTGGGAAACAAATTCTCAAAACAACTCCCAAAACATTTGCAGTTATTGACAAGGAGAAACTAATGTTAACTGGAAACTTGTTTACCAAGTCCCCACAGCACATAAAGCCCCCACAGGGCCAAGGGACATCCTTTTTTTTTCTTTTTTTTTAAAAATATATTTTATTGGTTTTTTACAGAGAGGAAGAGAGAGGGATAGAGAGTTAGAAACATTGATCAGAGAGAAACATCGATCAGCTGCCTCTTGCACATCCCCTACTGGTACATGCAACCAAGGTACATGCCCTTGACCGGAATCGAACCCATCTATGGGGTGACAGGCAAGTGAGGGGGTCAGGGGTACTCTGCTGGTACCTGCCTTGGCTGGTGGCCTGGCATGGCCTGCTGGCTGGCCCCACCTCCCTGAGCACTGCCGTCAGTCACCTCCCCCTGGTGGTCAGTGAATGTCATAGCGAACAGTAGTTCTGCCATTCAGTCAATTTGCATATTAGGGTTTTATTATATAGACTTAGGTCACCTGGATAGCAGATGGGCTGAGCTCCAAAATAGCACCAGCCTTCAAAGACAGGGAGTCAGAGATTTTTAAAGGACTCTAGGCAGGTTTTTTCTGGGTGGAGAATTCTCTGTTCAGGTCTGGATTCTGGGAAACTCTGGAGGGGAGAGATAACAGTCTTAGCAAGTGGAATGTGGTGTAAGCAAGTAGAATATCCATTGTGAAGTGGCCTAAAGGTCAGTTCCCAGGGGAGGAGGTATTGGTTCAATTATTTGATCAAATCTAACAATATTTTTATTGATTTTAAAGAGGAAGGGAGAGATAGAAACATCAATGATGAGAGAGATCATGGATTGGCTGCCTCCTGCATGCCGCACACTGGGGAACGAGCCCGCAACGGGGCATGTCCCCTGACTGGGAAGTGACCTGTGTCCTCCTAATTCATAGGTCAACATCCACCCCTGAGTCATGCTGCCGAGATGCAGGCAGATACTCATGTTCTGCCAGTAGCATGAGTTTCTTAGGCAACATGTCTCCCCCTCCACCCAGGTGTGAAACACCCTGGATGTTGCACAGTAATTATGGCTTTTCCTGTTTTGTCAGCCTGAGGAGAAACCATCCTCTATGAGTTAAGCAAGATATGTCATTAAGAAGGAAGATTTGAGGCTACAAGGCCTCAACAAAGGATTTACAGTAACTTTGGGATGTGATGGAGATTTCAACATGGCTTATTTTGGCTTCTACTATGTCAAAAACTCTGTAGTTTTTGAGAAAATGTGGGATCGGTCTTCTTTTGGGCACAATAGCCTCAGTCATTAACATCCCATTTGATGTTGCCAAAAGAATTCAAGGGCTTCAGCCAGTTCCTAGAGAGATCAGTACAGAGAGGCTGTTTTAAATCGATGGCAGCAGTCTACCAGGAAGAAAGGATTTTAGCTTTGTACAAAGGCCTGCTTCCCAGGACTATGAAACTTTGAGCAGGTGGTGTAGTGATGCTGCTGGTTTATGAATGCAACTACTCATGGCTTTAGGAGAACTAGTGATTGCCTGTGAAATGTATTTACCCCTTGAGATAAAGCACATTTGCTCTATAGCACCTTGAGACTGTTAATCAGCTAAGCTGATGCAATTATAAATTATACAATTGTATAAAATTATTTTAAAAAAGATTTAAGCCGAAACCGGTTTGGCTCAATGGATAGAGCGTCGGCTTGGGGACTGAAGGGTCCTGGGTTCGATTCCGGTCAAGGGCATGTACCATGGTTGCGGGCACATCCCCAGTAGGGGGTGTGCAAGAAGCAGCTGATCGAAGACTCTCTCTCATCGATGTTTCTGACTATCTCTCTCCCTTCCTCTCTCTACAAAACCAATAAAATATATTTTTAAAAAAAGATTTAAGAGAAAAACTTATTTTGATACTTCAAAAATTATCTCAAGCCCGGCTGGTGTGGTTCAATGGTTGAACATCAATCCATGAACCAGGAGCTCATGGTTAGGTTCCCAGTCAAGGCATATCTGGGTTGTGGATTTGATTCCCAGTAGGGGGCATATAGGAGGCAACTGATTGATAATGCTCTCTCATCATTTATGATTCTCTCCCTCTCCCTCTCTCTGAAATCAATAAAAATATATATATATTTAAAAATTATCTATAGACAATTTGAGGTAGTTATGGCTATATGTTTCATAAACTATAAGAAGAATATGAAGCAATGAGGTATGTAAATTGAATATATAAAAATAGCATAGAAATCAGATATATTTCATACAAGCAATATAAATTTTATGACATGTTTTAATTACATTGCTTCACAATAAAAATCCATTGTATTAATAATCATTTTTCCCGGGAGGCCAAGAAATGCTTAAAGAAAAAAAAAAAAATTTAAACAGTCCATAAATAATATTTAAAAGTCACAAAGAAGATATTTTTTTTAAAAGATTTCTTTATTGATTTCAGAGAGGAAAGGAGTGGGAGAGAGAGACAGAAACATCAATGATAAGTAAGACTTATAGATTGGCTGCCTCCTGCACGCCCCCCAACTTGGGATGGAGCCTGCACCCCACACATGTGCTCTCACTGGGAATCGAACCATGACCTTGATTCATAGGTCCATGCTAAATCACTGAGCCATGCCTGCCAGGCAAGAAGATATTTTAAAATTGCACTAAAATGGCCTTTTAAAAATGTTGACTTTTATGTTAAAATGTAAGTTTGTTTGGTTTTCTAGTAATACTACACATTTCAGCTATATTTTCCTAAATCTACTTCATATTTTGCACTATTTAAAACTGGCCATACTTTGAAATCCTGATATTTGAAGTCCTGGTATATGACAAACAGAAAATGTGAAGTTATATTAAACTACTCTCCTTCACCTAGTTCCCTTTGAAAACAAGTTTTGTTGCTAAAATATGTTCATGTTAAATCACAAGTTGGAACCACTCCTTGTAATGCCTATATTTGCATCTAAATATCTTTGTTCAGAATTCTTATCTATGCCATTCTTAAAATCAATGTTTAAAGTAAAAGTACAGCCCTAGCCAGTTTGGCTCAGTGGATAGAATCATAGCCTGTGGACTGAAGGGTACTGGGGTTCAATTCTAGCCAAGGGCACACGCCCAGCTTGTGGACTGGATCATTGATGTTTCTGTCTCCCTCTCCCTCTCCTTTCCTCTCTGAAATCATGCTCTAGGGCCTGGTTAACTGTGACCCATGTGGTGCTGTCCCAGTCTCTGCATATAAACGGGTGATGAGCTGTAGGTATAGAGAATAGTTGGGAGTGGCCAAATAAGAGTGATCTAAGACATCCAATGTGTGAGACCTGGTATTTAGCATATTACCCTTTTATTATTATAGATTGCTTTTTCTGATGGAGTCAGATAGTTCTCATAGAGCACTTTCTCTTTAATTTAATGCTCAGGTCTCTCTCTTCTATGTCATTTCTAGAGTCAGATCTTCGATATTACTTCATCTGATCGGCTTTGTTTCCTATGTTCATCTCTTGATCTCCTTAATTAAATGCTTCATCTTTAGGATTTTGTCTGGTTCTTTTTTAAAGCTTCAATCTCTTTGGTAAAGTAAATCATTCTGTTCATTAATTTGTTTTTGGAGTGCATTAAATTGTCTGTCTATCTTTTTTCACATCTTATTGAGTATTTTCAGAACTGAAATCTTGAATTCTGTCATTCATATCATGTATTTCCATGTGTCCCAGTTTGCTTTCTGGAGATTTTTCATTTCCTTTTTGAAGTGCCTCACTTCAGTGGTTAGTCATTGTATTCGCTGGACTCCTTCTCTGCTTAGGCATCTATAATATATTGATATATTACTAGAGGCCCAGTGGTAGGGTCCCTCTCTTCCCCCAGCTGGCCCTGCCTCCTGGTTGAACTCCCAGATGAACACCCAGTTGAGGGGATAATTTGCATACTATGCTTTTATTATATAGGATTGATGTTTCTCTAGCAGCTTTCTACAATATAAAGAGGTCTTTCTACTGTTTCCCAGTAGATGGCACTAATCACAAGTGTTGTTTTTTGTTTTTGTTTTTTGGCTCAGTGAAATCCCAGAGCTGACCTCTGTGGCTGCCATCAGGATGGCTGGACAGCTTGGGGATGGGTTTTATTTTGCCCCCTCAATAATGGCCTGAGATCTCCACTGAGTCTTCCCCCACACCCCCCAACAGGGATCAGTTATCAAGGGAAATAGTGATTCTGTTGTAATGGTTCTCAGTTTGCTCCTCAACTTGATGCCAAGAATGATGGGAGGAGAGTTTTGGGAATCTGTGGCTCCATTTTTTTGTTTGGAACACTGACTACCTGATAGCAAACAGTCATGGAAGAGCCTCTGTACTGTGTCCTTGCCCAGGCTTCTGGCTGGCTCAGCCAAATCTCGCACCACTCACTCCTAAAGGAGTACCGACCAAGACTCTTTTCCTCCTGGCTGCAGGGCGCCTCTGCTACAGCCAGCTTTCTCTCCTCTTCTGGTTGAAGTCTCTTTAACATTTTGCATAATACTAATTTGGTAGTAACGATTTCTTTAGCTTTTTCTTGTCTGGAAAGCTCTTTATCTTTCCTTCCATTTTATTTTATTTTTTAACTAGGGGCCCAGTGCACAAATTCATGCCCCTAGAAAGGAATTGTGGGCCACAAGACTGTGGTAGGCACGGGGACAGGTCTCAGCCCATCCTCTGCACCCCTCCCGCTGCAGTCCCTGGTCCTCTGTCTGCCGGCATCCCTGTTCCCACCTCTGCCACTCCTACTTGCTGAAGGCGCAGGCCCTGCTTGAACCTATTGATGGTGCGAGTGATTGGGGCTGGCACCATCAGCGGGTGTGAGTGATGGCTGCTGCCTTGATCACCCCCCAGGAGCAGGGGGAGGTGGAGAGGCCCTCAGGGGCCATTAGGGGCTGGTGCCAGCAGTGGGTGCAAGCAGTGCTGGTGTGGGGCAGCAGGTGTGAGCGGTGGCTCTGGTGCCAGCAGTGGGTGAGAGCGGGGTAGGCAGCAGGTGCGAGCTCCAGGTAGGACCAAGGCAGGCGTATGGGAGCAAAGAATTTTCAGTAACCACTAGAGACTTGCCCCGATGACAGAGACTGGCACCCGCCATGGCCTGGCACCCCACTCACCTACTCCACCATCCCTCCATGACCGACACCCACCATGTTCTACACTCTGCTGCCAGCTGCTGATGCCGCCATGTTCCACATGTGCCCCTGGTGGTCCAGCACACATCATAGCAACCGGTTGTTCAGTTCCGCTGTTTGTTCTATTTGCATATTAGCCTTTTATTACATAGGATGAGGTCACTCATTGTAATTTATTTATTTATTTATTTATTTATTTATTTATTTATTTATTTATTTATTTATTTTTAATCCTCACTCGAGGATATTTTTTCATTGATTTTTATTTTTATTATTTTTTTAATATATTTTATTGATTTTATACAGAGAGGAATTGAGAGGGACAGAGAGTTAGAAACGTCGATGAGAGAGAAACATCGACCAGCTGCCTCTTGCACACCCCCTACTAGGGATGTGCCCGCAACCAAGGTACATGCCCTCGACCAGAATCGAACCCGGGACCCTTCAGTCCGCAAGCCGACGCTCTATCCTCTGAGCCAAACCGGTCCCGGCTTTTTCATTGAATTTTAGAGAGAGTGGAAGAGAGAGTGAAAGACAGAGAAATATTGATTTGAGAAACACATCTATTGATTGCCTCCTGCACACACCCCAACCAGGGCCTGGACCAGGGAAGAGCCTGCAACCTAGGTGCATGTCCTTGAATGGAATGGAATCTGGGACCTTCCAGTCTGTAGGCCGACATTATATCCACTGAGCCAAACTGGCTAGAGCTCCTTCCATTTAAAAAGATAACCTTGCTAGTAGAGAAGTCTTAGTTGTAGGTTCTAGCTTTTCATCACTTTGAATATTTCATGTCAGTCTCTTCTGGCCTGAAATGTTTCTGTTGAGAAATCAGCTGACAGTCTTATGGGAGATCCCTTGTAAGTAACTAACTGCTTTTGTCTTGCTGCTTTTAAGATTCTCTCTTTGTCTTTAACCTTTGGCATTT